CGCACCCCCGGCGGGCCGCGCGCAGCCGCGCACCACGGCTACTACCACGGCAAGGCCTGGCCCGAGTACTACGAGAAGGAGAAGGAGGAGATCCTGCGGCAGAGGTGAGCGCCGCTCCAGAGGCTCCTCCCGTTTGTGTACGGTCCCTTCGCGGCCTGGCGGGGCTTCGGCCCCTTCGGCCTGTCCTTGCGGCGGCCCTTGGGTGTGCCTTGTATGCGCTTTAGGTGCTTTGAGTGGTTAGAAACGGCAACAGAACATCAGGCTTAAAGCGTTGACGTGCCGGGTGTAGCACTTTCATAGCTGCCTTCCAGGCAGTTGACCTGGGTTCGGTTCCCGGCCAAAGCACCACAAGGGTACCAGCCCTGTCCCAGTCCTTTTTGATTAGTTTTCTGACATTTTAATGATAACCTCACATGAAAAAGCCTCTAGAGCTTCACTAGCTCTGTTCTCTATTCTTTCTCAGTTCTGAGATGGCAGTGAAAGGGTTTGAAAGCTTTAGAGCTTTTCTAGAATAGCTGGGCTTTTGAAGGGTCGGGCTCGGTTAGTGCTTGGATGGGAGACCGCCTGGGAATCCTGGGTGCTGTAGGCTTTTATCACCCTGAAAATGCCCGATCTCGTCTGATCTTGGTCAGTGAAGGCATTCTCCATTGCAGGAGACTCAACGAAAGAGAGAGGATTGGAGAACTGGGGGCACCCGAAGTCTGGGGACTGTCACCAAAGGTTCCTGACCCTGAGTAAGATGTATTCTTTCTTCTTTTCCTCTGTTTTTTATGATATTGATTATATGTCAGTTCAGTTTACAAAAATGTCTTATTCCTCCACTAGTCCTTTTTAGTTCATGTGAGTCACTTCATTTCTGAACCATCATAATGAAATTATTACTTCCTCTTCCCCAGCTTCTGTTATTTTCCCAGAAATAATTCCCCAGTTAATTCCAACTGCCAGTTTTGCAAGACATGATTTATTGTAGGTCAGGCAACCTTTGTGTTGTGGGTCTGAAACCAATTCCTGTGGTGTAAATCAGCTGTATTTGCTCTATTGCCAGCACTGACTCAAAATCTGCAACTGTGTGTTTGGCCATGTGTACATTTGATCTTGAATCCTGCACAACAGACTGTAAATAGCCAACTTCTTATTTTCATTCAGTTCTGATGAGCATACACCGGTAGAAGACGAAGAGGCAAAATCTAAGAGTAGTTCTTCAGATTCCAGTTCGGAAGGTATTTTGTTTTGCTTACACAGCTTGTTTTGAAAATGGGAAGCTGATGAAGTCTAGAATCTCTTGCTTGCAAGAGGTTCACCAACTTGGATAGGTGGAAGTGAATGTGGTGGGCTCCAGTTTGAAGGAGAGTGTTGCATTCGGAAGATTGAGACTTGTATGGAGCTAGATGAACTTTGTCTGCTCCCTAATTATTGAGGTTACCTTTTAAAAACCTTCTAGAGGAAAAAAAGAAAAAGAAGAAGAAAAGGAAGAAGAAAAAGCGGAAGGGATCCAAAAGAAAACGCAGAAAACATTCTGAGGACAGCGACAGCGAGTCAGAGTCTGAGGACTCCAGTGGTAAGAAGAGAGGGTTTCAGCTAATGCATGTGGTGTGAGAGCTCTTCTGCTGCTCCTCTGAATGCGAAGTGACACTTCTGGCTTTTGTTGCACACTTAAAATGTTCGGAAATTACAGAGCTGCACCACCAATCTGGTATTCTTTCATCATCTTGCTGGGTTTGCAGTGCATTTTCCTTGAGTGCTTGTGGTCTGGCCTTAGGAAATAGGATTTCTGAATTTCCTAGAATGGTTTGGGTTAGAAGGGGTCTTAAGGATCATCTAGTTCTACCTCCCTGCCATGGACAGGGACATCTTCCACTAGAGCAGGTTGCTCCAAGCCCTGTCCAACCTGGCCTTGAACACTGACAGGGATGGGGCAGCCACAGCTTCTCTGGGCAACCTCTGCCAGGGCCTCACCACTCTCATAATGAAGAATTTCTTCCCAATTTCTAATCTATATCTCCTCTCTTTCAGTTTAAAGCCATTCCCCCTGGCACTACCTGCCCTTGTAAAATTTAGCACCCATTGGGCACCCCATGCCAGAAATATGTTTGATATGTTCTCATATCAAACAATATTGCAGGTAGCTCTCTACTTGTACTTCTGCAGTATTACTTGGTACCTGAGCAAATCATGTCTGAGCAGCTGTGTACTAAGGCATTCTGGTGGAGGTGGTTATTCACAGTGCAGTAAACTACTTAGTTATTGCTAATCATCTCTTTTTGATAATATACATGCTTTCTTTTTTTCAGATGAAGATAGAAAGAAAAGCAGGAAGAAGAAAAAGAACAGAAAGTAAGTTTCCAGGTGGTTGTGTGTAATTCTACCTGCTTTTGGCCAGAGGGCAGTGCCACTTGCATAGCAGATAGTGAGGAAGGCTCAGTGAGCATTCTTGTTAGGGCTGTAAATGCTGTTGAGTAATCTTAATTTGATGGATTTTCTTTAAATCTGCAGAACCACACAGCAGAGGACTCACTGCAAGCATAGGGAGCAACTTTCTAACACTATATGACATGTGTAACAGTGTATATGTTGTCTTTGTTTTGCTGTAAGGCATTTTCTTCTATGAAACAACAACGATCTGCATGCAGACAAGCCAGGTCTTCCCCCCAAACTTGCGTTAAGAAACTGGTGACTTGAATATGATTCCAAGCACTTTATTTCATCTTAGATTTTGGGAAATAACATGTCTGGTTTTGACTTTATCACAGGAAGAAGTACAAGAAAAAGAAAAATAAGAAGAGCAGGAAGGAATCCAGTGATTCCAGTAGTGAAGATTCTGATGAAGAAATGTTTCAAGGGGAAGATCTCTGGATTGAGAGATCAAGTAGGTTCACCTGGCTTTAAACTTGCATCAAAGCTTCTTAGTTTCCTTTTGTGACTTTTGTTAGGTGTCGTTGTTCTGATAACAAAAAAACAAAAGGCATAGTATTAATCTTCCTCATTATTTGATTGTTGCAGAAAATATGGAAGCTGATAGCTTGATTGGACCAGAAGCTCCCAAAACTCATGCATCTCAGGATGATAGGCCTTTGAAGTGAGTAGCCAGCTCTTAACAGTATTTTGATCAAATCGACTGAATGAAACCTGAAGGTTACTCTTCAAAAGGGCTGTTCTAAGAGCCTGGTATGCATCAGAGAGAAACGCAGTGCCAGAAACTCACAGGCACAAGTAGCAGTGGTGCATGCCTTTGTGCTGACCTAAATCCAGGTAGAAGAGTCTGGTTTATGCTTTTTAGCCTTGATTCCTAGGAAATCAATTTTAAGATGCCTTTATGCTAATGCTCTGCAGTATTGTGAGTTTACAGTGTCTTTATTACTGTTTAATCAGAATGTATTAATTTAAGAATTTCTTGCTAATGTTAGCCATAAGGAAAAACAGGCCAGTTAATGGGAAAGAAGCTGGATGTTTAGCTCCTTCTCTCTCTATTAGAGACTGAAATCAGTACTTACTTTTTTTTTTAAGCTATGGACATGCCCTCTTGCCCGGTGAAGGTGCCGCAATGGCAGAATATGTAAAAGCAGGAAAACGTATACCCCGGAGAGGTGAAATCGGCTTGACCAGTGAAGAGATTGCGTCGTTTGAGAGCTCTGGTTATGTCATGAGTGGCAGCAGGTATTGTTTTGATGATGATAATGGTTCGGTGGGATTTTAAAGAGCTGCTTCTGCTGCTAACTGGTTAGAAGACTGCTTCCAAGCTCAGGTTGAAAGCATGGAAGAGAAGGTGCTCTGTGTGCTTGCAGTAATCTACACTAAACTCGATCTTGCTATAGATAGATGATATATCTATTCAACTTGGTTTTGGAAGAACACTTCCTCTTCAAGAGCAAAAATTCTTTCTAGCTAATTACAGATAATTACACTTTCTAGGTGAGTACACTTGTAATTATCTTAGTTTTCAAATGAGGAGACTCTAGTGTCAGGTGGCTCAAAGGCAGTGTGTTTGCACAGCAGTGGTGATGCGCTGGCTCTTCAGTAGGAGAATAATTCAAGGGTGAGAGGTTGGCTGTGCTTTTTTCTCTGAGTCCAACAGGAATTTCCTTTAAATTTTGATAAGGCAGCAGCTGACACCCTTGGGGTAGGTTGGGCTTTCTGGCTGACTGCCTGAGAGCAGCCACCACCAGAAGTCAGTTTCTTGCTCTGCCATGCTCCTTCACGGGAAGGCTTGTGTGCAGTTTGGATGCTCTAGTGTAGGTATTTTTATAAGCCACTCAGAACATTCAGCCCAGTTGAGGGATGTAAATCGTGATGGGGCATTACTTCCCTCTGTTCATGCTGAAGTACACAATGTTCTCCTCTGCAGACATCGCCGAATGGAAGCTGTGCGTCTGCGTAAAGAGAACCAGATTTACAGTGCAGATGAGAAGAGAGCTCTGGCATCCTTCAACCAGGAGGAGAGGAGAAAACGAGAGAATAAGATCCTTGCAAGCTTCCGAGAGATGGTCTATAGAAAGACTAAAGGCAAAGAGGAAAAATAATTCTCCATTTGGACTGGACACCACAGGTTCTACCAAGCAGCAGCTGACCTGTTCCAGTTGTGACTTGACAAAAAACCTTCAGTGCTGCAGTGCTTTTCACCCAACAGGGTCAAGCCTCAGGAGTGGATTCCTTGGATCAAGGAAAGAGTTGCTTTTGTCAGATTTTCTTGGATGGTTTGCTCTCCATTCACAAGGAATGCCTGTAAAATGAAAGGCTACAAAAGGCAGGGAAGGCAGGAACAGGCAGGGAAGATGAAAGGTGCAATGTTCTGAGCTCACTTTGAATCAGACAAGCAGAAGGATTCTATAGGAGGGCTTTTTTACCTAATGCTGATAAGTGAGATTTTCCATTTGTTTTGATTAAGCATAGAATAATTTAGGTTGCAAAAGACCTTTAACAAGCTACTGGAAACAGTAGCAAAAATGAAGGAATTCCTAAGTTCCTGTTTAAGATCTAAGTCTCTCCACTTGATCTAGGTCTGGTTTTGTTTTTTTTAACTCAACACAATTTTGTTTAGTTTGTGGTTCAAACTAGACTTGTAAATAGAAATGAGTTTGTAATTTAATACAGATGGGCTTCAGTTACTTTAAAGCAAGCAGATTGCAACTTGGTGTCTTAGGTGTATTACATAACCATGGAGGCCTGCGGTGAAGAACTAAGTTGCTTGCTTCTTTTTCTCCTATGTCATACATAGGTATCGGGAGCAGTAGGTGCAGTGATTGGAACCCCTGGATGTACACAGGTGGTAACAAGGATGTATCTTTCAATTTATTTGAAATTCCTTTGTTTATGGAAGTGTCTATAGTAAAATCCTATTTTAATTTCTCTGCTATTTTAATTTGGTCTGGTTTAGCAGTATTATATGCATTTCTTTAAACTGTACTTGGAGGCTTACTCTGGATAGTGCTTCTGTGATTCAACTGCATATTTCCAAACATATGCCCTGAGCCGCCTTTTTCTCAGATGCTTTTAAAACCAAAGTGTTTTCTAGATGGTTGTTTTGTTCACCTAAATCTCTGTGTTGTACTTCTGGCAGCAGAGAGATGTCCTGTATGTTTGTATAAAGAAAATAAAAGTCCTGTAATGTCTGGCCTGGAGTTCTGCAGGTGTGTGCAAACAGCAAGTCCAGCCCACCTGGCTTCCTCCTGTTTACACTCTGTTCTGTCCTGCTGTACCCATCCATTCTTATATATTCTCTCCTCTGTCCAGCTGAGGAGGGGACTGACAGAGCAGCTTTGGTGGCATCTGGCACCCAGGTGGGGTCACCATACAAGAGCAGCAGATGCAAGGTTTGTATACATGTATGTCTTTATTAGAGTTAAATCATTTTATATAGGTAAGGGGATTCTTCAGAAGAGCCATCACCTTAGTCTATGTTCTCCAGACCCTGAAAAAGAAACAGTATCATTTGTATGTGCACCATTATTATCCCTAATTTGCAGAAGGGCATAGCTGAAAATGCAGGTTTTGTCAAAAAATAATTAAGAACATGACTAAGAAAACGTAGATGCCCCCGGCAGGCTGCAGAGTAAGTTCCCATAGCCTTGAGCAACCAGGGTCCAGCTCAGAGCCCAGCACAGGGCTTCTGCTCCCCTCCCACTGCTGCCTGCCCACCGCCCCCAGCACCTGCCTTGGACACGTAGTACTTGTTGACCCCCGACACCCGCCTGTCTCTCTCCATCAGCGCCCACTGGTAGGGATAACGGGCGATCCTCTTCTCCTGCAGGCGAGAACAGCGCTGCCTGTACGGCCCCGGGGGAGCGGCTCCCAGGGAATCTCAAGGGAAGGGGCCACGGGAGGGAAGAGATCCCAGGAGGAAAAGGTGTGGGGAAGGAAGCCCCGGCGGAAGCGCAGCCCCAGTATCTCGACCCACGGACGGGGCCGCCGGGGAAAGGGGAGGGAAGACGGCCCAGTGTCCTCCCCCCACACTGACCTTGCCGCCGTTACTCCAGCGGTGCATGTAGATGGTGGAGAGGCCGGGGATGGCGAGGCAGACGCCCATGATGGCCATGCCGGGCAGGATCTCGTACCACATCCCGCCGGTGCCGTGCTGCGGTGCCCCCCTCTCGCCCCGCCGACCGGCCTCCCTGCGAGCGCTCCCAGCTAACCCCGCGCCGCCGTCACTACGCAGACACGCCGGGAGCCGTAGCGCGGCGGGGCCGCGCGGGGCACGCCGGGAGCCGTAGTGCGGCGGGGCCGCGGCGGGGCGGCCTTGGCCGGGGGCGCGGCTCGTGGCCCTTTAAGGCGCAGTCGCGGGAGAAGCGGTGGCCTGGGATGAAGGAGGACAAGGAGAACGCGAGGCCGAAGGAGCGGCGCGGGGCCGGCTCCGGGCTGGGGGCTCTGTTGGGGGCGGGGTCGGGCACGGGCACCGCCGCCGCTGGGGACAGCAGGACCGGCGCTGCTGAGCTCGACCGCCTCGAGCGGCCCAAGGACAAGAAGGAGACGCTCAGCAAGGTGGGGCCTGCGCGGTGCGATCCCCCCAGTCCCGCGGGAACGGGCCTCGCCCGGCGCCGCTGGAGGCGGCCTTTGTGGGGCGGGAGGAGCTGGGTCCTCCCCGGGAAGGGGTGTGAGGGGTGGTGGCGGCAACGAGCGCTGCGGGCCGCTCCAACCCATGTGTCCGTGCCGCAGGTGGTGATCCGGCGGCTGCCGCCCAGCCTGACGAAGGAGCAGCTGGAGGAGCATCTCCAGCCCCTGCCCGAGCATGACTACTTCGAGTTCTTCGCCAACGACTCCAGGTACGGCCGCCGGCCCCCTCCCCCGGGGCGGCTCCCGAGAGCCGCTGCTGCCGTCAGCCGGGCCGCCCAGTGAGCCTGGCTGTGTGGGTCTTGTCTTTGTGCAGCTTGTACCCTCACATGTTCTCGAGAGCCTACATCAACTTCAAAAACCAGGAAGACATAGTCCTCTTCAGGGATCGCTTTGACGGCTATGTTTTTGTCGACCACAAAGGCAAGTGAGCTGTGTGCGTCTCTCCTGGTTTGCGCAATGTGGGAGCTGTATTGTAGAGGGATGAATGTAAGCAGCCCAGTGTGCCACTTGGCGTTTGTTTGGCTTTAGTGCCTTAAATGAATGCCCTGCAGTATTTCAGGGAACAAAGTCTTATGCTTTGTGGAAGCTAATTTAAGACTTTCTTCTGTATTTCTAAATCGATCTTATAGTGTTATGTGTAAACCCCAGTAAAGCATACATACATCAAGATGATAGTGATTTCCAGATAAACCCAGTTGTTGCATTACTAAGGTTAATACTTGCGTTGTCATACCTGAGTGGGAAGTCTGAGAAGTGAAAATGGGCGGGTGGTGTTGCTGTCCAAGCTAAACAAAGCTGAGGTTAATGGTGCCCTGCTCCACTGCTCCCTTTGTCTGTTCTGTACACTTCTACCAGCTTATTTTTTGGTCAGTTTTTAATCCGTATTATTGCTTGATCCAATTTACAGCTGAGTGGATCATCTTGATTCAGTAGAAGGAGTGGTTTGTTTCTTGCAGCCTGAAGTTGTAAAAGCAACTGGTCTCTGGAGACCTACATCTATAGTTTATATGTTGTTTAATTTATTGGTTAAACATCCAAGTATTTAGTTGTGTCACCACTTACCTTTTTTTCTGAATGCACGTTAGGTATTCAGTACACCTCATGTCCTTAAATTTTGCATTTCAAACCTACTTACATCACGTAGCGCTGGAACATCTTAGTCTGTCATTGAAAAACCTTAAATTTACAAATTTAGCAAAACCTTTACCAAGAGTCTTCCTGTTGGCTTTATTAGGCTGAGGATTTCACCTTGAACTTTGTGGTTTACTTTTCATCCAGCCAGCTGCTTTATGTGACACAAAGCTCTGTCCACAAGACCTTCCCTCATTTAGAATGGTTGCATGGCAAGGTTCTAATAACACCCACCTCTTTTAAATAGCCTGGTTTGCAGTGTAACAGGATGCTGTATTTGCCATATCCAACAGCAACATTTGATTTATGCAGCCATAAATGTGGCATTCTAGTCAAAAGATGAAACTTTAAAGCCTGACTGTAATGTGTTGCATTGTATTGTATTTTGCCAAAAATTGAGATTTGCCCCAGTTACATTAACTTAAAACATTATCTTGCACTTGCACAATGATAGCAGAGCCTGTAGGATGAGGATGTTGTGTGGTGTGGTATAGCTGAGGTGGCTGAACTGACAGTTATGGGCAGTCTTAAATTTAGCATTTCCATCTTGTGAGTCTGTTACTTTGCCTTTTTGTTGATGTTGTGAGTGTTTAGTTCATGAATTCTGCTGTCTCTAAAATGTTTTTTTTATTAAATGTCTTTCACAATACAAGACTTTTTTTATGCTTTCCAAGTAGTCTCTTCTAGTATTGCATATTTCTTGTGAGGCTGATCTTCCTGCTGTAGACATGGATAATATACTCTATATCTGGTTCATCTCTATTTTAATGCATTTTTCCCTCTCCTCTTAACAGGTCAGGAATATGCTGCTATAGTTGAGTTTGCACCTTTCCAAAAAGCTGCAAAAAAGAAGAGTAAGAAAAAGGATGCAAAAACTGGAACCATTGAAGATGGTATAACTGCTGGCTAGTTTGTTTTGCATGTATGCACTTGAAATCCCTAGCAGTAATTTGAATATGCTGTGTTGTGGTTTGACACCAGCCATCAACTCAGCACCACACAGATGCTCACTCCCACTGCCCCTCACCCCAGTGGGATGGGGAGGAGAATCAGAAAAAGCTAAAACCCATGGGCTAAGATAAGAACACTTTAATTATTGTAATAAGTAAATTATAATTGTAATGGAAAGGGAGACAACAGAAAGAAAGGAATAAACCCCCAAAGAAACACAAGTAATACACAATACAATTGCTCATCACGCACTGACCAATACTCAGACCAACCCAAGCAGCAGTCGGTGCCTCCCAGCCACCTCCTCGTGTTTATATACTGGGCATGACATGCTGTGGTATGGAAATACCCCTTTGGCTAGTTCAGGTCAGGTGTTCTGTCTCTGCTCCCTCCTGACTTCTTGTGTCCCTCCTTACTGATCAGAGTATGAGACCTTTATCAGGGTAAGCACTGCTAGTAACAACTGTATTATCCACATTATTCTCAGACTAAAGCCAAAACACAACTCTGCAGCAGCTACTAGGGATAAAATTAACTTTATACCACCTGAAACCAGAACAAAAATTTTTACTGTGACACTGTAGTTTATTGACAGAATATTTGCTTAGTTATAGCTTATTAGCACTGCTTGGGCAGCTGCAAATCTATGAAATATGATTGTTCCAGACAAACATAATGCAGCAGCTCATTTGAGAGCTGCCAATTTACGAACAGGTGACATAAGCACCACAGCTTATGCAGATTAACCCAGAATTCCAGCAGTGCACAAGGGAAATTCTTTTCATGCTGTGGTTTCCTTTTTCCTCTTTTTCTTCCCTCCCCTGTAGATCCAGAGTACAAGAAGTTTCTGGAAAGTTACAGTGCAGATGATGAAAAATTAACTTCCACTCCAGAAACTTTGTTGGAGGAAATAGAGGCAAGAAACAAAGAGCTCATAGGTATGGAAATCTATATACTACAGCAACATTTTCCTAGAGCACAAAGGAATGTATGTGGTGTAATTTGAAGCTGTGTTTTGTTTTTTTTTTCACCCTTCAGGAGACTGAATTCTTATGTGTGATTGTTAGGTATTTATTAAACCTTTAGGCTAATACTACTCAGTGTACTTTGTTTTGCTGTCATGGTCTAAATTCTTTTATAGATTTAAGTTTTATATGGTAATGTCTATGTTTGTTTTAAGATGCTAGTCACATCTGCTAGCCGTGCTAGGCTGTGGAGTGGCTGCATTTCAGTGGGATGCGGGGGTGTGCCATGCATGCAGAAGTTAAGACATTCTGTGGTTGGGTAAAATATCACAAAAATGACCAGAATGCTCTTTCAAAACAAGAGAATCTGGGAAAAGCCTAATGCAGACTGAATGTCCCATTACAGAGAGGTATACTGTGTATCACTAAAGAAGGTTATAGAATCCTAATAGTTGCCACTGTTCAGGGGTAGGATTGGAAGACTTGTTTTACTGCTGTATTGCTGTATGTGAGAGGAGAAAGGCTGGAAAATCCATAAGGCTTTTTCATTTCATGTAGGGTTTTGTTGAAGTATTGGATAAGGCAGATTGTTTACATTTGTTTTATGTATTCTCTAGCTAAAAAGACTACTCCATTATTGAACTTCTTGAAAAATAAACAGGTAAGACTTATCTCCAGAATCTTCTTATTTCTTGCAAGTCCAATTGGCTCATTTAAAGCATGGGTGTGTATATTGCAGCATGTATGTTGATATGTTTCTGCCCTCTTGAACAAAAGCTTTTGACCCAACTTGTTAACATCTGGTTCACATACTTGAAACTACCAGAACACTGGCCTTTGGAGGAATGGTGGTGCTTTGTGTGTGTTCTGGTCACAGCTAAATGTTGCTTGTGGTACTGCCAAACTAGATTCCTTTTCAATGCTGTTTTGACTCAGGTCTTTGTAGATCATCTTTCTGCCAGCACATAATAACATTTTAACTTTTAGCAACAGAGGAAATAACAGGTGGGGCAGATTTCATTAAAAATAGAATTATAAAGGCTGAGGCTACTCTTGTGTGTGTTGGTTGATTTTTTTTTAAGATAGTACAAGTTAAGGATCATGAAAGAGGGGAAAAGATGAAATGCTGCTGTAACATGTTCAGGTTCACAACAGAATAATAGAGACAACAGGACTGTTTTACAGTAGAGGTGGGGTTGAGGCGAGTTACTTTATCACTGTGGCACGGTATCTTTTTAGGCTTAAAGGGATCTTTTCTAGATCTGGAAAGACACTGTTTCTCTTTGGTTTTACGCACACAGAGACTGAGAGAAGAAAAAAGAGAGGAGAGGAGGAGGAGAGAATTGGAAAGAAAAAGACAAAGAGAAGAAGAAAGAAGAAAATGGAAAGAGGAGGAGAGAAGGAAGAGAAAAGAAGCAGAAAAACTGAAGAAGGTAGACAGATGCCCAGAAAAAGAAAGAGACAGATCAAAAGAAGAACCAAAGATTAAGGTCTAGAACAGTTCTTTATTATAAACTGTTACACTCCCTTTCCCCTATTATTTGTATATCTGTCTC